ACATGAGACTTAGATTGGAGGATTGTGAGTTTAAGGCCACCCTGGACTATGCAGTGAGACACTGTCTCAAAAATAAATAAGCAAACAACATATTGTATATTAGCTGGTGAGGAAAAATAAAACAGGGATAGAAGATAGGATTGGGGTGGGAGGTGTGCCAATTGTGGATACAGGTGTAAATATAGATATAGTGTTCCAGAAAACCCCTATCATGTGATTATATAGGTAGTTGTAGCGTGATAGTATTTATTCTGGTTAGATGGATTTTTGAATAGCCACATGGTATGACTTAGATTTTTATGTTTGTCTTTTTGAGACAGAATCTCACTATGCAGGTCAGGTTGGCCTTGAGTTCCCTTTGTAGCCCAAGTTGGTCTTAAACTCACAAAGATCCTCCTGCCTTAGCCTCCCTAATGCTGGCATCATAGGTGTGTGCCACCACACCCAGCTATGACTTAGATTTTTAATGGGTTGCTCTCACAGCTGTGTTGAAAATAAACCCTAGTAAGTAACGATTCAGGTGAAAAAGGATTGGTGCCTAGATTTGCACAGTATAAGTGATAGTAATTAGAAGAGATCATGTTCTATAAGTTTCTTTGTTTTTATTTTGGAGAAAGAATGAATGAATATGAATCAGGGCCTTGTGCATGCTGAGTATACTTTCTACCCCTTGAGCTACATGCCAGCCCCAGATTCTAAAATACTGTGTTTTGAAGGTTGTGTCGGTAAGATTTGCTAATAGATTGAATGTGAAGGAAAGAAACTAGTTGGGGCTGTGTTCTGAGCAGATGGGGAGAAAGAGTTGCCATTTATCCGGCAGGGAGAACTGTGAGAGAAGATAGCAGGGACACAGATTGGGTCCCCTGTGTGTTTTAGACCTGCCAAGGTTGCAATTTCTATCCCATACGTTGCTGGAGGCCTTCAGCAAGATGCTGAGTGTATCAAGTTGGATGTGGGATTCAGCTCTATGCTGAGGGAAGACGTTTGAGAGCATAGAGCACATTGGTAGGTAAAGCCACGAGACTGGATGAGACCCATGAAGGAAGTGAGTGTGATTCGAGAAAACAGGGCACCAAGGTTGAGCTCATTAAAGTTTGAGATGAAGAAGATTGGCAGGGAGGGTGGTGTGGAGAGGCCACCAAAGGAGAAAACCACAAGACAGCAGTACCCTGGAAGCACGGCAAGGTGTTTGGTGTTGGAAATGAGTTCAAGGAAAATGAATTCTGCAAAATGGAGCTCACTGGAGACCTTGATAAAAATAACTTTGGTAGAGGAAAAGCTTTTAGAAGAGCTGTGTCTAACAGCCCTGGGTAGCTAGTAGTGTGACCTCTCAAGATCATAACTTTTAAGGTTATTATGTGATGTTAGCAGGATTTTACATGACTTGATTTCATAGGGCTTGACCAGCCACTGTGTAGTGACCTCAGAGTGCCACATAGGGGAGGTCGCAGTGAGGTGGGATGCAGGCCACACATCTCCAGCAGGTACTGAGTGCATCAGTTATAGGAGCTTGTGCAGTCTGGCCAGCCTGCTTACCCCTGGCTGTGCCTGCAAGGACTGGTGTTTATTGTTAGTAAGCTCAGTGGGGCCAGGCAGGCCAAAAGGTTCATTGTTTAAAAAAGAAAGGGGAAGAGTGACTCCTTGAAAAGATTTTGATGCCAAGGGAAACAGAGAAATGGGGGGTTTAAAAGTGGAGGAAGTGAGGTCAGGATGGCTTGTTTGCTTGCTCTAGGGCCTTCATGCTGAGCTACAGCCCCAGACCTTTTTTAATTTTGAAATAAGGTCTCATTAAGTTACAGATTTGCCCAGACTGGGATCAAACTTGAAATCCTCCTGCCTCAGCCTTCCAGAGTGCTGGGATTACAGGTAGTACAACCATACCAGCAAAAAAAGTATAATCTTTTAAGGTGAAAGATATTACAGAGTATTTGTATGCTGAAGATAATAATCTAGTAAAGGGCAAAATTGGTGACTCAGGAGAATGAGAAAATTCTGAAAGGATGTTCCATAAATCAGAATAAGTAGCCTCTTTTGTGAAATATGTATATCCTTGCTTAATGCAACTTTTTGAAGTGTTATTTATTATCATCACAATTTTACATATGGAAGAACAGGTATGTGAAAGATTTAGTAGCTAGTCCAAGATCATGAAGCTTCACCACTTAGTTATGGTGTAACAAGGGACAGTCACATGCTCATTCTGAATTTCCTTTCCTTCCTTCCTTTCTGGAACTGAACCCAGGATTTCATGCTAAGCAAGTTCCTTATCACTGAGCTACACCCTCCAACCTCAATTATTTTTTTGAGAACAATAATCATTAACCCATGTGTTTTATGAGGATGTGAAGATTATGTGAGAATATTAGTGAAAATATGTCTTTTGTTTGTTTGTTTGTTTGTTTTTGGCAGAACCGGGGATTGAACTCAGGCCCTTGCGCTTGCCAGACAAGCACTTATTTTACTGAGCTATCTCCCAGCCCCCCAAAATATGTCTTCATTGTAAAATTCTTTATGGTTATAATTTTAAGAATAGATAAGAGCAATTACCCTTCTCCAATATGATAAAAGTATAGGGTTTTTGTTTTTTTTTTTTTCTTTTTTCTTTTTGGTACTTAGTATGGGACCACAAAGTCCTCGTCTGTAGTGTGTAAGTGCTATACTATTGAACTACATTTTCAGATTTCTGATTTTGTTTTTGATTTTGTTTTCGGTGGAACTGGGGATTGAACTCAGGCCCTTGCACTTGCCAGGCAAGTGCTTACTCTACTGAGATCTCCCTGGCCCCTCAGATTTCTTTTTTTTTTTTTTTAAATTAAATTTTAAGACAGTCCAAGTTGCCCAGGCTGGTCTTGAACTCATGACCCTCTTGCTTCAGCCTTCTAAATGATGGCATTGGGGCTGGTGAGATGGCTCAGTGGTCTAAAGCACCTACTTAGGGGGCTGGTGAGATGGCCCAGTGGTCTAAGGCACCTACTTAGAACAAGCTAAGCTCAGCAAAGCACAGGGACTGCGGTTCAATCCCCCAGTACCACATGCCAGCCAGCCCCGCCCCCTGGTGGGCTGAGCTGGCCACACACACACACACAAAATAAATAAATATTTAAAATAAATAAAAAATAAAGCACCTACTTAGAATAAGCTTAGCAAAGCACAGGGACTGTGGTTCAATCCCCCAGCACCACATACCAGCCAGCCCCGCCCCCTGCTGGGCTGAGCTGGCCACACACACACACTCACACACACACACACACACACAAATAAATAAAATAAATAAAAATAAATAAATAATGGCTTTGCAGGTGTATATCACCACTTCCAGGCAAAATATGGAGTTTTCAGGTCAGCTTTTTCAAATGGGAATGTATAATAATATTACATTTTTTTCATCAATCTTTCTTAAATTGCATGGTTTGGTTTGTAAATGTCATCTTTCCATAGATTGCATTAGTAGTGATATTAATGCATTAACTAGTTGTGCTATATTTTTGGCTAAGATACAGTTCTTACAATATAGAGTACACTAATATTGGTAAAACAAAGCACAGAACTTTTTTTTTTTTTAATGTATTTGATGCAAGGTCTCACTACACAGCTTGGACTCATAGTGATCCTCCTGTTTTCAGCCTCCCCAGCCCTGGGATTATAGGTGTGCGCCCCCACGCCCGGACTAGCACAGAACTTTTACTCACTTTAGCACTCAGAAATTTCACACACCCAGATTCGTCCACATCTGAATGGGATACTTGCTTCCTTGCCACTGCATTTATTTCAGGGCCTGGATGCGATGTGATCTCGCGTCTGTGCAATATGCAATGCGTTAGCAAAGCTATGCATAGATAGAAAGAAAGGCTTTTCTTTTCTTTTGGTGGCTCTGGGGTCCAAAACTAGGACCTCGTGCATGGAAAGCAAGAGGTCTGCCACTGAGCCACCTCTCCTGCCCGAGAGAGGATTTTACTCTAAAACTATATTAGTATCTTTTTTGGAATGAGAATGTTTTAGGACATCCTCCCATGTACGCTGCTTGGAAATTCTTTGGGATGAACAAGACAGCATGAAGAATAATAAGTTGGAATTAGACAAAGGAATTAACTTACTGGAATATCATGCATCATAGATGTATTGGTTCCTAGATTTCTAAATTGTATTCTCTTTTCCAAAACCAGTACATTGATTTGATTTGATTCAATCTTCTTCTGAATCTTTGTCTTGTTTTGGGACAGGGTCTCCCTGTATAGTACAGGCTGGCCATGAATTTACTATGTAGCCCAGGCTAGTCTTAAATTCACAGCGATCCTCTTGCTTCAGCCTCTGGAATGCTGGGATTACATGTCTGGCTAAAATATATTCTTATGAGGTTGTTTATTAAAAGAGAAGATTTTGAAAAAGAGGTGTTCAAGCTAATGTCAGAAATTATATGCTCACTTTTTACTGCCCCCTTTGTTACCATTTTGTAGTTACTTTTGCTCACTTCTTGCTACCTTTTCTTTTCTTTTTGTACTAGGAATCAAATTTATGGCCTTGTACTTGCCAGGCAGGCAGGCCACTGTGCCACCGAGGTATCTCCCTGGCCCTTCTACCGTTCTTTAGTTTAATTTTTTTAGTTACTTAAGTTAAAGGGCTAGGGAGATAGCTCAGCGGCATAAGCCCCTGTCTGGTAAGTGCAAGGTGCAGAGTTTGATCCCCCAGTACTGGGGAAAAGAAATTACTTAGATTAATTGTAACTTTGATCCTTACATTTTCCAGGTAGTGATATTGAACTGAATTTAGTGGGTTTTGTTTTTTGTGGTACTGGGCATTGAACTCAGGCCCTTTACAATGAACTATATCCCCAGCCCTTTTTATTTTTTCATTTCAAGAGACAGAGTCTTCCTAAGTTATACAGTCTGTGCTTGAACTTTTGATCCTCCTGCCTCAGCCCCTCAAAGTGCTGGGATCACAGGTGTGAATTTAGATGTCTGAGGTATGGTGATACTGTTTACCACTTCTTAATGCTAACTGCCACTGCCTCTATTACTGTGAAGGGAGGTGGTAGATACAATGGTGCGGCACTTCAAGATGCAGATATTTGGTGACCGGCAGCCTGGCTATGATGGCAAAAGAAACATGTACACAGCACACCCACTGCCAATAGGACGTGACAGGGTAAGTGGCAATAGCAAGAAGTACTTAGGTCATGGAGTAGTCATTACATAAAGCAAAAATGTTTCCCTTTCTAGGCATACTTTTGTCCTTAGAGTTGCTTTCCATGGTAATAATAGATTTGCTATTCTGTCCATATTCTGTTGTGTCTTAGATAACTGATAATTGAAAAGGATATGAGCATTAGAATTTAGGTTGTGTCTTCTGTAGGTGTATCTCAAAACCTCACATTAACAGTATACTGTAACAAAATGATACCTCAATCTGAACAATAGAGCTGTTGTAATTCTGACTTGAGAAATCAGATTTATTTATTTATGTATGTATTTTATTTTTTTATTTTTTTTAAACGTTTATTTATTTGTGTGTGTGTGTGTGTGGCCAGCTCAGCCCACCAGGGGGCGGGGCTGGCTGGCATGTGGTGCTGGGGGATCGAACCGTGGTCCCTCTGCTTTGGCCAAGCTTGTTCTAAGTAGGTGCTTTAGACCACTGAGCCATCTCACCAGCCCTATGTATGTATTTTATGTGTTTGGTACAGGGTCTCCCTACACAGCTCGAACTCAGTGATCCTCCTGTTTTCAGCCTCCCTAGCTCTGGGATTGAAGGCTCAGCTCACCTGGGACCAGGGCCGGCACAGCATGTGGTGCTGGGGATCAAACCCCAGTCCCTATGCTTGCCTAAGCAAGCACTTAGTCTGCGGAACTATCTCACCAGCCCAAGAAATCAGATTTATAATATCACAGTACTCTTTTAAATATTTTTTTTGAGGGGGTACCAGCAGTCACCCTCAGGACTTTAGAATTGCCAGGCAGGTGCTGTGTCACTGAGCTCTCTCTCCGGCCCAGCATTTGTATGTAAAATTAAAGAAGCAGGGTTGGGTTTGTAAATCAGTGGTAGATCACTTACCTACCATGCAGAAGGCTGTGGGTTCAATCTCAGTATTGCAAAAGAAGAAAATATTAAATTTAAAAAGGAAAATGTGAATGTATTCCTTATAAACTTATTTATATGATCAGGAAATGCTGTGGCTTCTTACCTCACCCACTTGTTTGCACCAATGCATTTCATTTTATTTTTTAAAGACAACAACTCCAGGTCTGGAGAGATAGCTTAGTGGTATAAGTGCCTGCCTGGCAAGCCCAAGGTCCTGAGTTTGATCCCCAGTACCAAAAGAAAAGAACTAGGTGTTTTATGTGATCTAGCTATCTGTCTGTCTGTCTGTCTGTCTGTCTGTCTGTCTGTCTGTCTGTCTGTCTATCTATCTATCTCACATATGAGCATTAGAATTTGTGAGATATATATGTGTATATATATGCTGATGTATATGTATACACACATATTTATACTTTTTTTTTTTTTTTTCTCTCAGAATGCCTTCAGGGCAGGTTTGGTTGGCTTGAGTTGTGAGGATCGAACCACAGCAACCTGAGCCTGACTCCTTTGTTGAAGCAGCCACTTAAAGAACTGAGCTACAGGGCAGGCCCCCTATACACAAATATATACATCCATTCTATGATTTTTTTTTTTTTTTTTGAGATAGGGTCTCATTATGGAGGCCATAACTCCCTGATAAACTCCCTCTTGTAGCCCAGGGTGGCCTCAGCCTTCCTGCCTTGTTACTTTGCTGCTTCAGCCTCTTGTTGGGTATACTGACATGTGCCACCATGAATTAATCTTTTATTATTTCTTTCTTTTTTGGCAGAACCAGGGATTGAACTCAGGCCTTGCGCTTGCCAGGCAAGCGCTTATTCTACTGAGCCATCTCCCCTGTCCTAATTTTTTATTGTGATAAAATATATATGACATAAAATTTACTATTTTAAACTTTCTTTTTTTCTTCTTTTGCAGTAATGACAATTTAACGCACAGCCTCACACATGCTAAGCAAGTGCTCTACCTCTGAGCTGCATCCTCAGCATTTTTGTTTTGGTTTTGTTCTTTGTTTTTTGAGACAGGGTCTCACTATGTAGTCCAGGCTGGCCTTGAATTCACCCAGGCTGGTCTTGAACTCATGGCAGTACTCCTGCCTCAGCCTCCCAAGTGGTGGGATTGCAGGTGTGTGCCACCATGCCCACTTCCTCTGCCCTTTTTAAAAATTTTATTTTGAGGCAAGGTTTCAGTAAGTTGCCCAGGCTTCACTCAAACCTGATTCTTTTGCCTCCTGAGCAGCTGGGATTCCAGGTGTGTCACCGCAGCTGATTCACACACCCACACATGCACACACACCCACACACACACACACACACCCCGTCCTGGACACTTAGCTTGGCCTTCACGCTGACACATATACCCAGTCATAAAAATAAACTTTTTCAGGTTTTATTTTGATGTAGTGTCTCCCTAAGTCACTATGATGCCCAGGTAGAATTCTAACTTGTGCGCTTCTTGCCTCTGCCTCCCAGGGTGTTGGGATCATAGAAGTATGCCATCATACCCCGATTAACCATTGTTAAGTCTGCAGTTTACTGGCATTAAATAATTTACATTGTTATGCAACTATTACTACCATCTCTAGAACTTTTTCATCATCTCCAACAGGTTCTATTAAGCAATAACTCACCACACCTCACTGCTTCTGGTCCTGGGCAACCATGATTGTTCTTTTTTTTTTTTTTTTTTTGCGGAACCGGGGATTGAACTCAGGCCCTTGCACTTGCCTAGGAAGTGCTTATTCCACTGAGCCATCTCCCCGGCCCCCACGATTGTTCTTATATCTATGATTTTGACTATTCTAAGAAGAATCTTCAGGACCAGCGAGATAGCTCAGTAGAATAAGTGCTTGCCTGGCAAGCGTAGGGTCGTGAGTTCAATCCCTGGTACCACACACACACAAAAAAGAAGAATCTTCAGTATTTGTCCTATTATGTTTGGCTTATTGTTTTATCTGGATCATTTAAATTATTGCCCAACTGATGTATACTTACATTTTCCCAACGTTTTGCAATGACAGAAAATAATAAATATCTTTATGTGTATAGCATATTGAATATCCTTGGGATCTTCTAGCCCTTATAAGCATTTATGTTTGTATCTATGTGTTTTTTTCTGTAGGTTGATATGGAGGTGACCCTTCCAGGTGAGGGTAAAGACCAAACCTTCAAAGTCTCTGTTCAGTGGGTGTCAGTTGTGAGCCTGCAGTTGCTTTTAGAAGCTTTAGCTGGGCACTTAAGTGAAGTCCCAGATGACTCAGTACAAGCGCTCGATGTTATCACAAGACACCTTCCCTCTATGAGGTTAGTACATCTGTTTGAATCCTTTTCCACAAATGTCAGACTTTTTGGTAGGTTATAGTTAGCTACAGAAAGGTTTTACTACTTAAGTTGTAGTTCACACTGCAGTACACAAAGCTGAGGAGGAAAGGAAAGACTCTCCCAGTTTTGATTGTGAAACCTGGCGAACTCTTACTCTTCAGGTACACTCCGGTGGGCCGATCTTTTTTCTCACCTCCTGAAGGCTATTACCACCCTCTGGGAGGGGGCAGAGAAGTTTGGTTTGGCTTTCATCAGTCTGTGAGACCTGCCATGTGGAATATGATGCTGAATATCGATGGTATGCAGACCTTGCTCTACCTATTAGTGCTTGGCTTTTTGTTTGTGGATTTTTTTAGGGGTAGCCCAGACTGCCTTAATGGCAGCCTTAACAGCTGGGGGTTGAACCACAGTCCCCAGCACCTGACTGAGTCTGCCCAAGTAGGGGATTTAAACAACTGAGCTTACCTGTAGGCCCCTGGCTTTTTGTTTATTTGGGGCCCTTTCGTTTTCCTGGAAGTTACATCTTTTTTTTGTTTTCTGTTCGTTAGTATCTGCAACTGCTTTCTACCGGGCTCAGCCTATCATTGAGTTCATGTGTGAGGTTTTAGACATTCAGAACATCAACGAGCAGACCAAACCTCTAACAGATTCTCAGCGTGTCAAGTTTACCAAAGAAATCAGAGGTAGGTATTTGCATGAAGGTAGTGGTGGAGAGACCTGTGGTAGTAACCCGGGCTCTGCAGTTAGGCCTGGCCTCCCTTCCCAGCCTACCTAGCTCTATCAGCAAAACCTTGGTTAAGTTTCTTAGTCACTGTTTTAGTGTTAGTTTATTCAGATTATTCACCTCTGAGGAAAAGGTGATAGCGTATGCCTTGCAGAGCTTATGAGAATCAAATTAATTAACTTTCTAACATAGCACCTGTCATATATCAGGAACTCAGTAAATGCCACCTTTACCATTAAAATGTTTCCCTTTTACTAAGATAACACATTCATTTATTATCCTTTGGTATTCTTTACTTATAGTTGGTTATCTTCTCCCACTATAGTATAAGATCCATGAGGGCTGTCTGCATGCCTGAGACTAGATATCAGAATATAGTTGATGCTTAATAGATATTTATTAATTAGCACATTAAAGTACATTGAATGTAGCCAGGGAGATAGCTCAGTGGCCTAAGTGCCTGCCTGGCAAGCACAAGGTCCTGAGTTCAATTCCCAGTGCTACAAAAAATAAAAATAAATAAATAAACTACACTGATCATCTCAGATTTTCTAGGTTCTAATTTCCTCTACTTAGCTGAGGTTTTAAAAATTTTTGTTTATACACACACAGACACACACAGATAGTTATTTTTTTGGTTTTTTTGTTTACTTTTTTTTTTTTTTTTTTTTTGAGAGGGGATCTCACTGTGTAGCCCAGGCTAGCCTGAAATTCATGGCAATCCTCCTGCCTCAGCCTCCCAAATGCTGGGATTAAGGTGTGCACCACTATCTCCAGCTGTTTTTACCTGTCAGTGATGAAACTATTCCCATATTTTGCAACTTTTAACCTATACAATGCCATAACTTTTTGTTTTTGTTTGTTGTCTTTGTCTTTTTTTTCCCCCCCCTTGCAGAACCGGGGATTGAACTCGGGCCTTTGCACTTGCCAGGGAAGTGCTTATTCCATTGAGCCATCTCCCTGGCCCCGTCTTTGTCTTTTTGAGAAAGGGTTTCACTATGCAGTTCAGGCTGGCCTTGACCTTACTTTGTAGCCCAGGCTGGCCTCAAATTTGCAGTGATCATCCTGCTTCAGCCTCCCAAGTGCACCCCCAGTTTTTAAATTTTTATTTTATTTTTTGGTACTGGGAGTCAAAATCTTTGAGCTTGTCAGGGAGGTGCTGTGCTGCTGAGCTATATCCCCAACTGTGACTCTTGGAAAACAACATTCAAATCTTTTTTTGTTACTATGATTTTATTTATTTATTTATTTTTATATATTTAGTACAGGGTCTACAGGGTCTCACTACATAGATTGGACTTGTGATTCTCCTGTTTTCAGCCTCCTAAGCACTGGGATTACAGGTGCGCACCACCATGCTCAGTTTCAATCTCCATCTCAGCGTGCTTTAGTCTGCTGAGCTATCTGGCCAGCCCGTTACTGTGATTTTAATTACAACTGATATTTTGGATTTCTTTTTTTAACTTCAGGTCTCAAAGTTGAGGTGACCCACTGTGGACAAATGAAACGAAAATACCGAGTTTGTAATGTGACTAGACGGCCAGCCAGTCATCAAACGTATGTTAATCACACTTAAAATAATATGATAATTATGGTAACAAGGGGAGCTGCTAAAATCATGTGCACCGGGTGCCATTGTCCACCCCTGTAATAACAGCAGTCTCAAGCCTGAGCAAGGCAGATGTTGTACTGCAGTTGTCAATTTTTTGAATCTTTTTCTCTCCCCACGACTGAGGTTGGAACCCAGGGAGTAATGAAGTGCATCCAAGGCCTTTTTATTTTGTGACAGAATCTTAATAAGTTCTTCAAACTTTTCGTCCTCCTGCTTCAGCCTCCCAAGTAGCTGGGAGTGTGCCACCATACCTGGTTAGAATTTTTCCTAACAACATAAAAGCTTTTTTAAAAAGTTTAAAATATTTTTGATTTATTTGTTTGTTTGCTTTTGTTTTCATTTTGAGCTGGGATCTCACTGTATTGAGGCCAACTTCCAACTCCTGGGCTCGAGCTGTTCTCCCACCTCCTGAGTAGGTAGGACTGTAGACATCTGCCACCTTACCAAGCTGATTCAGTTATTTGTTCCAATTTTAGTATTTGTGCTGCTGAAGTGAGCACTGATCCGGATATTTGCAAAACACATTTTCTGCCTATATCCCAATCTACGTTTAAACTTAGTGAGCTAAACTGAGGTCCACTTTTACTTAATGAAAGAGAGTCATGATCAACAGCATTTATTATTCAGTTTTAGTTCTGAGTACCTATCCGACAGGTCTGGGGAGCTCTAGAAGTCCTGCCAGGCTGTCATGGGAAGGCACTGCTTTGCATGTCTGTGTGGATAGATTGCTCTCCCTCCCTTGGTAGCTGGCTGTCACTTCTTCCAGCTGCCAGTGAGTAGGGATTGCCTCCAACATACTCCTCTCCACTTCTCCAGTCTCATTCTTTGTTTTGCTTTGTCTTGGTCCTGGGAATCGATCACAGGACCTTGTATTTGCCATGCAGGTGCTGCCCCGCTGTGCTCTTTCCCTGGCTCCAGTCTCATTCTTCTAATCATCCAGCTTCTATTCCACTAAGTACCAGGCCTAGATAAGTTAATATATATGAAAGTGCTTAAAATTACCATAAAAGACCAGAGGTAGTGGTGCACACCTATAACCCCAGCACTTGGGAGGGCCACTGAGAGTTTGAGGCCAGCCTGGGCTCCCTAATGAGTTCAAGCTTAGCCTGAACTACATAGTGAGATTTTTGTCTTAGGAAAAAAAGCCACTATTAAAAAATTACCATATATGTAAGTTTTATGCTTATAATCAACACTATTAAACTTATGTTTACCATAAACATAACTATTGGCTGTCTTAACTAAGTGGGGTTAAATAATGACTAAACTTCATTTTGTTACTCAGGAGCCCCCTTTCCCATATATTCTGTCTGACTTTGTTGCACATATGTGGTTCTTAGTTTTCAGACTTAAGTGTGTATCAAAATCATTTGTTGTAGAAAATGGAAAGTTTCAGCCAGGAGTGATGCACACACCTGTGCAGTAATCCTAGCTCTCAGGAGGCTGTGGCAGGAGCATCTGCAGTGAGTGTGAGACAGCCCAGGCCACACAGTGAGAGTCTCTTTCAAAAAACTAAAACAGGGGCTGGTGAGATGGCTCAGTGGTCTAAAGCACCTACTTAGAACAACCTTAGCAAAGCACAGGGACCGCGGTTCAATCCCCCAGCACCACATGCCAGCCAGCCCCGCCCCCTGGTGGGCTGAGCTGGCCACACACATACACACGCACAAATAAATAAATAAATAAAAAACTAAACTAAAACAAAATCTGTTTCCCTTTTATTATTAAATTATTCATATAATCATGTCAGGTAGGCTTACATATCTATACAATCTTTGTTCAAAGACTTAGGGCATATAAATTTAAATAGAACATAGATAATCCTCACTACATTGTTACTTTGTGTATCTATTAAGAAAGCAAGATTCAAGCAGGGTGTGATGGTGCCTGCCTATGATCCCAGAACTGGGGAGGCTGAGGCAGAAGGATCACTGCAAATTTGAGGCCAACCTGGGCTACAAAGTGAGTTCAAGGCCAGCCTGAGCTGTGTAGTGAGACCCTGTCTCAAAAAAGAAAAAAAGAAGAGAGACAGAGACAGAAAGAGAGAGAGAAAAAAAAGAGAGAGAGAGAGAGAGGAGAAAGAGATTGAGATTGAGTTTATCATTTGTATTTGAGATAATTTACACCCCTGAAAGAACCAAATAAAGGGATGTTCTTTCTTTCTTCTTTTTTTTTTCATTACACAGCTCAGATTCCTAGTGATCCTCCTGTTTTCAGCCTCCCCAGCACTGGGATTACAGGCATGCGCCACCATGCCGAGTCTTGGGTCTGGGTGGCTGGCTCAGTGCACCTGGGGGTGGGGCTGGTGCTTCGTGTGGTCCCTTCGCTTGCCTAGGTGCTTAGACTGCTGAATTATCTCACCGGCCCTCCCACTTGTTTTTAAATGACTACTGAAGGTAAACATTATAGGCTTTGTTTACTTGTTTAAAAAAAAAAATCTCATATTTCTAAGAAGACATTTTTTCCTATAGTTTTCCTTTGCAGCTAGAAAATGGGCAAGCTATGGAATGCACAGTAGCTCAATATTTTAAGCAGAAGTATAGTCTGCAGCTGAAATACCCCCACCTTCCCTGTCTCCAAGTGGGACAAGAACAAAAGCATACCTATTTACCACTTGAGGTAAGCTAAATTTCCTTTGTCAATCTTCCAATCTCTTAAATTAGTTTTTTTTTTTTAAGTAGAGTTCTAATCTAGAATAGAATTTAATTTTTCTTAAAATACTGTGAGCACGTAATTTCACCACACAACAATTTTTCTTTTTCCTATTTTTGGAACTAGAAATCAAACTCAGGACCTTGCCCTTGCCAGGCAGGCCCTGTATATGGGATATAGATCATTGATGTAGCATGATCTGAATTTGATTCCAGTACTCAAAAATAAAAATAAAAATGAAACAATTCTGGAACTGGAGAATGTATGAGCTTGATAGATGCTTACAATATAGGAGCCTCGCACTACACAAACTGACTTCTTCCTTGTTCTTGGCAGGTCTGTAATATAGTGGCAGGACAACGATGTATAAAGAAGCTCACAGACAATCAGACGTCCACAATGATCAAAGCCACAGCAAGATCTGCTCCTGACAGGCAGGAAGAAATCAGTAGACTGGTCAGTAGGGAATGGTCTTCAAGATTAGCCAGCTCTAAGACAAAGATTAAAAAAAAAAAAAAAAGAATAGAGAATTCCTGATGGGATGCAGTCACTCTTTGGTTTTTATATATGCAGGCTTTCCTATTCTTTAGGTGAAGAGTAACAGCATGGTGGGTGGACCTGACCCATACCTTAAAGAATTTGGGATTGTTGTCCACAATGAAATGACAGAACTCACAGGCAGGGTACTTCCAGCACCAATGCTGCAATACGGAGGCCGGGTAAGCTTTCTGTTTATCTCAGCACACTGTGAGTCGGAAGATTAGAACCCAGAGTCTTTCTGCTATACTGTATTGAGTTTACCTGTACTCGTCTTGTTACTGCTTTTTAGTCTTCTGAATCGTACCAACTAGAATTTTGTTTATTCCCTTCTCAACATTAAGATGGCCTTAGATTGTAATGTCTTTTCTCTTTACTTTTGTTTCTTTTTGTTTTTTTTAAAGAATAAAACAGTAGCCACACCCAACCAGGGTGTCTGGGACATGCGAGGAAAGCAGTTTTATGCTGGCATTGAAATTAAAGTTTGGGCAGTTGCTTGTTTTGCGCCTCAGAAACAATGTAGGGAAGATTTACTAAAGTGAGTATCTTCGTATTTCCAGCTTAGTAATATCCCTCCCAGATATGAAAATTCCATCTTTATGTTGATGTGCTGTGTATACTGGCGCTAAATCCCCAACTCCCATAGTGATACCATCTGGCTATATGCAAAAGCTATTGCATCATAGTAAATTGAGCACTTGGAAATTACATTAAAAATCTTATTCAGCTTCTGTATATTTAGAGCAGATCTTTGTAACAAGGGTGAAGCCATTCTACTTGGCAAATTCTTGAGTTTTCAAGTGAGAGCTTCCTTTGGTATTCATTGTATCTTTTCAGCTAAGATACAAGCTAGGTTTTTAAAAATAACACAGGTAGCCAGGCATGGTAACACATGCTTGTAATCTCAGCACTTGGGAGGCTGAGGCAGGAGGATCACTTGAGTTCAAGGCCAGCCTGGGCTACATAGTGAGTCTAGGGCAGTCTGAACTACATAATGAGACCCAGTGTGCCTACCCCCTTATCCCCCCAAAAAGAATAGAACACTGACAAAGAGTATTGGTTCATATCTTATAGATGCAGCTACCTATGTAAAGGAAGTTAATGAGTAATGAAAAATTAAGAAAATGAAGCTATGATGAATCCTATAAGATATTGGAAAATACACAAAAGAAGTTATTGAAGCAACTTTTTTTTTTTTTTTTTTTTTGGAACCGGGGATTGAACTCAGGTCCTTGAGCTTGCCAGGGAAGCATTAATTCCACTGAGCCATCTCCCTGGCCCCTTGAAGCAACTTCTTAAATCCAATTTTTTTTTTTTTTTGGTACCATGCATCAAATTCAGGACCTTGCATTTGCCAGGCAGGTGCTGTGCTGCTGAGCTATCTCCCCAGCCCTTAATTCCAAAATTAAAGACCCAAATTAATTTCAACTTTTAAGTGATTTCTTCTGATGTTGTTTTTGTTTTTTGGGGCGGAACTGGGGACGCACTTGCCAGGGAAGTGCTTAATCCACTGAGCCATCTCCCCGGCCCTGATATTGTTATTGTACCAAATCAAGTTTGATTACAACTCCCGTTACAGTGATTTTGCCATAGCATGTTTCTGTGTTCTCGGTTCAACGCAAGTTGACCCAACTCCTTGTACTAGCCTTTCCAAAAGGAATGTTACCTGAAATTTTGACAGTCTTTTCTTCACTCCAGAATTGCTGATTTGAATATTTTTTAAAAAATCTTTGAAGAGGAATGAGATCTAGCCCTGAGGCTCAACTGAGCCACACTATATTTACTTAAAAATTCAAAGTGATTATTTGATCATTTATGAATACAGATTTTTCTCTGTTGTAATTGTAGTGATACAACTGCCAGTTTATTGCAGCAACCAGTGAAGGATGTTTTGCTTATAATTTTGGTTAAGAATTTGCAGAACTGAAAGAAATATTTTAGAAGGTTATGAATGTACCCTGAAGTGAAAGTTCTGTGCCGCTGGTTCTCCCTTACCAGGAGTTTCACTGACCAGCTGCGTAAAATCTCCAAGGACGCAGGGATGCCCATCCAGGGCCAGCCGTGCTTCTGCAAGTACGCACAAGGCGCAGACAGCGTGGAGCCCATGTTTAAGCATCTGAAGATGACATATGTGGGCCTACAGCTCATAGTGGTCATCTTGCCTGGAAAGACACCAGTGTATGGTATGGACCTTTTAATGCCAAATGAGGAATGATTTCAAGGGGTAGTTGTGGCAGTTGGGTTAAACTAGATAGTAGCATTAAATCAGATAATGCAATCACAAACACCCTCCAAGTAATAGCAGTTAAAAGCAACCAAGACTGTGGTTGGAGGTATAGCTTGGTGCAGGAAGGGCAGCTGGAGAAGGTGGAGGTGCTGTCCACAGGGGTGAGCATTGCTTGGGGGAGAGGGTGTCCTGGGGTTTGGGCATATGAAAGGACTAGTGCATGAGAAGCACCTAATACCATTTACAGTATAGAATATGTGCTCTGTAAATGTTAATGTGTGAGGCTTTAGTCCCTTGCTCTTAATGATTAGAAGACTATTTAACTTGGTGGTTGAATATTTGCCCAACATTTATAAAGCCCTTGGTTCCATCTCCAACACTACACACACACACACACACAACCCAAGTATATACATAACACAACAATAAATGAAGTAAAGATTTACTTCTACCTCCTGCTGTATGTCCATAGAATTTAGGTGGTACCCAGTACCCAGTTTGGCCAAGCAGCTCCTGTTTAGAATGTTGCTGGCCCCTAACTTTTTTTCTCTGCATCTCCTTGGCCACAACCAGCTGGATGGCCTTACCCAAGCTGTGGAGAGGATACTAGGGAGTGGGGCTAGGGTCAGGAAAAGCATTACCATCCTGCCATAATCCAGGAATCTGGAAGAACTGGAATGTTTGGTGAAAACCACTTAGGATATCAGAATGGAGATAAGCAGAGGCGTTTGCCACTTCTAGAAAAGAGTCTGCTTACTTTGTATCCATTACAAGAAGAATGACACAAAATTCTTTTGGTTATCACCGAAGTGTAAGCTGTGAGAGCTGTAGATGCTCCCTTTATAAAATGTCTTCAGTTCTCTGTATTTGCTTCTTCTGTTACCTTCTTGTTTGTCCCTAGTGTTTAGAGAAAAATAAAAGTAAACTTCAAAAGATTGGCATGTGTGCTGAGAGGGGGGCCAGGGGAGTTATTTCCTTTGCCAGAACAGGTCGTGTGGGGGAAGGAACCTTAAGGGACTGGGCATGTGGAGGCAGGGAAAGTGAAAGAAGAAAGGAAGCGGCTGGCTTTGAGGCCTGCAGGAGGGACACTGCAGAAGGTGGAGGTGCTGTCCACTTACAGTATAGAGTATGTGCTCTGTACTTGTTAATGTGTGGGCTTTAGTCACTTGCTCTTAATAATTAAGGAGACTATTTAACTATTTAAAATTATTTTTGTAGCGGAGGTGAAGCGTGTTGGAGATACTCTTCTGGGTATGGCCACGCAGTGTGTCCAGGTAAAAAATGTAGTGAAAACTTCACCCCAAACCCTTTCCAACCTCTGCCTGAAGATAAATGCAAAGCTTGGAGGAATCAACAATGTACTTGTTCCTCATCAAAGGTAGGGTTCCTGATTCTAGTTTTTTGTTTTACCATTTTTGTTTAAAAGCTAACTAATGTAATTTATGGTAGTGCATACCATATATGCATCTTGATGCGTGTCTCTTATATGCATACACACCTATGCACCTACTAAACTGCTAAGCTATAGAACATTTCCTCTCTCTCTCTCTCTCTCTCTCCCCCTCCCCCCTCCCCCTCTCCCCCTCTTCCTCTCCCCCCCCTCCCCCCCAACACGTACCCCTCAGGATTCCTTTGGTCTCTCCAACAAATGCTGTTGTAGTCAGGGTTTGCAAAGAAACAAATACAGGACATAATTTATAGGATTATTTTATAATAATCATTCAAAGAGTCAAATACAAAAGAGTGTAGAAAATCTGTCCACACACTAAAGACCCGAGGAATCCAGCTGAGGGCCTGGATGCCACTGCAACGTCCCGCATGAGTCCAGCTGAGGACCTAGAGCTCATCATAATGCCTCCTACAAGTCCAGCTGGAGGTCAAGAGCCCACGACTAGGTCACATGCAGGCCTGTTTCAAGGATCTGCACTGGGAAGGCTCAAAGGTCAGTGGTGGAAGCTAGAAAGTCTTGCCAGCAGGATGACAGATCTGTGCCAGCAGGCTGCGGGATCTGCTCTGGAGCCAGGAAGTGATGTTCAAAGTAAGGATAAGAACAGCCATCCTCAGCAACGAGGTCCTAAGCACTTCAGGTGATAACAGCCAAGTTCATATCAAGAAAGCCAGCATAACAAGCTTTTCCAGGACATTGAACAGTACACCATCTACCCCCTAAGGAGCCAGGAAGCCACACTGAAAGTATAAACCGGAGCGTCCCCAAAGTGGATCACAGCCATTCTCAGTGACAAGGTCCAAGCTCTTTCAACGATGAGGACAGTGGAGTTCATATCAGGAGAGCCAGCATGACACGCTCTTTCAGGAGAACCAATAGCTCCACATCTTCCCCTCCAGTCCCCTTTCTTATGTTTCTGGCAACAGTCTTCAGGGGTGTGCTGGGAAAATAGCTCAGCAGCTTAAGCAACTGCCTGGCAAGTGCAAGGTCCTGAGTTTGATCCCTGGTACCACAAAAAACCCTATCACCAGCAATAATATAAGGCCAAATACATAACTCCCGAAGGTAACTGCTATTCTGAAGTGTATCACCATAAATTAGTTCTTTTGGGTTTTCTAAATTTCACACAGTTTGTACTATGTTATACATCTTTTGTTCAATAGTATGTCTGTGAGATTCACTTAGGTTGCTGCATTTAATAGTGATTCATTCTTCATTACTGTGTATTACTTCATTCATGAATCGAACAATTTTATCTCTTCTACCACTGATGAATACTCTTACAGACTCATTGTACATTTCTACATTTTTAGTGGATGTAGGCAGTCTTTCTGTGGTGTAGAAATCCAGATATGGAATTGCTAAGTTAGAGAGAATTCATACATTTAGTTTTTTTTTTTTTTGTGGCCAGCTCAGCCTGCCCTGGTGGTGAGGCTGGTATGACATGTTGTGCCAGGGATTGAACTGCGGTCCCTGAGCTTGTCTAAGCTTGCCTAAGCAGGCACTTTAGTCCACTGAGCTATCTCATCAGCCCCATACATTTATTTATTTAAAAAATATTTATTTATTTATTTATTTTGTGTGTGTGTGGCCAGTTCAGCCCACCAGGGGGTGGGGCTGGCTGGCATGTGGTGCTGGGGATTGAACCACGGTCCCTGTGCTTTGCTTAGCTTAGTTTGTTCTAAGTAGGTGCTTTAGACCACTGAGCCATCTCCCCAGCCCAGCCCCATACATTTAATATTAATTGATGCTGTCGTTTTCTGGACTGCCTATACCTTTTTCCTTTTTGTCTTTTTGAGATAGCATCTCGATATGCAGCTCAGGCTGGCCAATTATATCATCTTATATTTCCACTGTGGACTCAATATTTTTTTTCATCTTTGTATCAGTGCTTAGTAGTATAGGGCCTTTTAATTTAACCACTTTGTTTGGGAATAATAGTACTTCATTATTTTAATTTGCATTTTTGGGTCCGTGAGAGAACTCAGTGTCTAAAGTGCCTGCTTAGGCAAGCTTAGGCAAGTGCAGGGACCATGGTTCAATCTCCAGCATCACATGCCTTGCCAGCCTTGCCCATAGGGTGGGGCTGAGCAGGCCACAAAAAAATAAATAAATAAATAAAAAATTGCATTTTCCTGGTGACTAATGATGTTAACCACATTTTCAATATACTTATAGCCCATTTAGACATCTTTCATCATGGGATGGTTCAGCACCACCACCACCCCAGCGTTTTGAGGGTAGCTCAGCAGGTCATAGTGGCCCATGCCTATAACCTCTGCACTCTGGAGGCTAAGGCAAGAGGACTGAGAACTCAAGCCAGAGTTCACTGTGTTGCCTACACTCGTCTTGAATTTGTGGGCTCAAGTGATCCTTCTGCCTCAGGTTTCCAAGTAGCTGGAACTATAGGCTTGCCACTCTACCTGGCTTCTTTGCCTGTTTTTAATATTGTATTAAACTTTTTTTTCCTACGGTGTAGAGGATTGAACTCAGGACTCTACACTTGCCAGGCAAGCATTTATTCTACTGAGCTATCTGGGCCCCTGGGCCCCTATTTTAGTATCGGGCTGTTTTCATTAATTTGTAGCTATTCTTTGTGGTTTTGGGATATAAACCCTTGATAGGATGTAAGTGCTGCAAGTATCTTTTCCTGTTCTGCATTTTATCTTTTCATTCTGTTAAATGGTGTATTTTAATCAACAGATCTTTCTTCTCTCCTCTCTTCTTTTTCTTCTCATCTTCCTCCTCCTCCTCCTCTTCCTCCTCCTCCTGTCTGTCTCTGTTTCCTTCCCTCCCTTCCTTCCTCCCTCCCCCTTCCCTCCCTCCCTCCTTCTGGCCCTTGGTCCCCCTTTCTCTTAAAGTTCTGGGACCAGGCCAAGCACTGTACCACTGAGCTGCATCCCTAGCCCCCAAAAGTTCTTTCCAATTTTAGTATATGTGCTGCCGAAGCGAGCACGCCAAAAGTTCTTAATGTTAATAAAGTTGAGTTTAATCTGTCTTTTTACATCTTGTTAAGAAAATTTACTTCCCCCTTCTCTGGCCCCATATGCTTTTTGTTGAAATTTGAATTTGTTAGATTTACTTCAGAGTAATGAAGCACCAAGACAGGGCAATGATTTAAATAATGTACTGACTGACAGGAGAGTTATGTTTTGCTGCTTGTGTGAATTTTTAAGATTTCTGGGCCTCAGTTCCTTATCTGTCAAGATACTACTATCTACCTTGTAAACTCTAAGATAGTGTTTTTATGTAAAATTCTATAAGAGTGATTCAAAAATTTATAATTTTTTAAATTTAGTGTTAGTCATTGCCATCCTTGAGAAGACTGAAGTTAGAGACCTACTCTTGTCTTAGAATATAACTTGTAGGTAAATAAATCCCTCCTGCATGTTGGTGATGAGGCATGCAAGTCAGGGAAGGCTCACTGAAAGCCTGGTGTCATTTGATTTTTACCGCACACATTGCAGATAACTGTAACAGGATGCCCTAGAGTGCATACTTGGGTGTCAGCTTCTTAGGTTTAGATTCTGGTGTTACCACTTCCTAGCTGTGCAGTTTGGGGCACATTCTTTATTCTCTTATGTCTCATTTTGAAAATTTGGGAAGCAGTGAATTTACCACTCTCACAGAATTGTTGCGAAGACGAAATGAGGAATGCCCAGCACAGTACCTGGTGTGTGCTGTGTGGCCAAAGATGTGCGTATGTCTGTGTTGCTAACTGCTCTGTACTGTGTTTTGTGATGTAGGAATATATGACAGCTTCTGCCCTTGTGCAGTCTCCTCTTAGGACCTGTGAGATTGTCGGATTTGGGATGCCCCTAGATTATATTTTAAGAATTAATACAAGGCTGGAGAGATAGCTCATCGGCATAAGTGCCTGCCTGGAAAGTGCAAAATCCTGAATTCAATCTCCAGTACCAAAAAAATAAAAAAGAATTAATACATACAGTCCCAAATTCTACTTTAAGAATTTTTTAAAACTTCATACCACTTTTTAATCTCACATTTTTGGGGGTTATCTCTTACCAGAGAAGCATGTATGATATTTTTCTCTTTGATTCCTTAGAGAAATCAGTGGCAAATAAATGAATTCATCCTTTTTTTTTTTTTTTTTTGCGGTACTGGGAATTGAACTCAGGACCTTGTGTTTGCCAGGCAAGCGCTTATTCTACTGAGCTATCTCCCTGGCCCATAAATTCATCCTTTCACCAAATATTTATTGAGTGCCATCTATGAGCTAAGCAATGTTCTAGGCAATAGGGTTGCAGCAGTGACCAGGATAAGTCTGAACAACATTCCTGCCTTTCAAAAGAGCTTACTTTTGTGTATAGATATAGACAAAGAATGAAGAAACAATGGGAATAAATAAGATACCATACCTTGTGTAAGTGATAAACACTATGAAGAAAATTAAAACCTGGAAAGAGATAGACTTGATCTTGTTTAAAGAGAATTTGGGTTTGTGTTGTTAGTACTCTTTTCCAATTGACAAAAAGAATAATTTTTTTAAGATTATACCTACAAGGGCCAGGAATATGGCTCAGTGGCACAGCACCTACCTGGCAAGCATAAAGTCTTTAGTTCAATTCCCGGTTTAAAACAAAAAATAAAAAACCTGGCCCTGCCCCTTGTGCACACTGAGACAGGGATTAAGACTGGGCCTGGTGGCACAGGCCTGTAATCCCAGTGCTTGGGAGGCTGAAAACAGGAGAATCACTACGAGTCAGATCTATGTAGTGAGACCCTGCAGATCCCGTAGATCCCGTCCTAAATACATTATTTAAAAAAAAAAAAAAAATCTTCAAAAACCCTGTGATTATCTCTGGTGATAATTTTTTTTTAGACCCAGGCATTTTCTCTTGTATGTCTCAATAGCACTGTGTCCTTAAACCTGAACAGGCCCTCAGTGTTCCAGCAGCCCGTCATCTTCCTGGGAGCAGATGTCACACACCCCCCAGCAGGGGACGGGAAGAAGCCCTCCATAGCTGCAGTGGTGGGCAGTATGGACGGCCACCCCAGCCGGTACTGTGCCACGGTCCGGGTGCAGACTTCCCGGCAGGAGATTTCACAGGAGCTCCTCTACAGCCAGGAGGTCATCCAGGACCTGACTAACATGGTTAGGGAGCTGCTGATCCAGTTCTACAAATCCACACGCTTCAAACCCACTCGCATCATCTACTACCGAGGAGGAGTATCCGAGGGACAGATGAAACAGGTATCCTGCTTAGCCCAGCATTGCCCTTTGGGGCTTTAAGAATCTGAAGAGCTTCCTCCTTTCTGCCATTCTGCAAGTCAGATACAAGAGATGCTAGTGGAGTTCTTGGTGGATCGTAATTCCATTTCTGTCTCCTAGGTAGCTTGGCCAGAACTAATAGCAATTCGAAAGGCATGCATTAGCTTGGAAGAAGATTATCGGCCAGGAATAACATACATTGTGGTGCAAAAGAGACATCACACCCGACTCTTCTGTGCAGATAAAACAGAAAGGGTAAGCAGGCATAAAGCTTCAGCACCTGATGTGGAATGGGAATGTGCTTTCTGTTACTGTTTTGGTGGTCTGGACTGAACTCAGAGCTGCCTGCATCCTAAGCACCTTCCTACTCTACCAGTGAGTTACACCCCCAGGCCCTGAGTGTGGTTGTTTGGTTGTTTGCTCATTTGTTTTGAGGCAGGCTGGTCTGTGTAGCCCAGACTGGCCCTGAACTCTCCTTCCTTCTCTCTCAGCCTTCTGAGTGCTGGGACTGTAGGCTTCATTACCAAATGTGATTTCTAGTGGGCATATTTACATTTTTCCCCCTAAAAGTAGAACATAACTTAGTAAATATGCTAACTGCTGTTGAGTTTAGATGACCAATTCTGAATGATACAAGTTATAAGAATGAATGTAAGTATATTGGGAGGGCTGGGGAGAGAGCTCAGCAGCATAAGTGCCTGCCTGGCAAGTGCAAGGTCCTGAGTTGATCTTGATACAAAAAAAAAAAAGAGAGAGAAAAGTATATTGGGAGTATTATTTTGAGGGATATTAATGGCAATGTATCTTTTACTCTAATCATTTTTTAAAATTCAAACTCACTATTTTTTAAAAGTCAGCACTTTTGTTTCTTTTGTATTAGAGAAATGAAAACTAACTGGGCATAGTGGTTCAGCCCTGTAATTTTAGCTATAAAGCCAACCTGAGCTGTAGACCGAGACCCTATCTCGAAAAGAAACAAAAGCTAGTTTTAATATTTTTGTTTTTAATAAGGTACAGGGAGTTGTTATCTGTTGAAATTTATTTTTATTTTTGCTACTTTTTACTGTTAATACCCAATCTATAGTTGCAAAATATAAAGAAATTTTCTCCCAAATGATTTTTATATCAGTACAAAGGTGCGTTCTCTCGCTCTCTCTCTCTCTCTCTCTCTCTCTCTCTCTCTCTCTCTGATAGAGATCTTGCTATGTTGCCCATGTTGGTTGATTTCTTAGGCTCAAGTGATCCTTCTGCCTCTGCCTCCCAAGTACTGGGACTGTATGTTCACATCACAGCTGGGCAACTTTGCTTCTTTATTTTTATTTATTTATTTATTGGAACCGGGGATTGAACTCAGACCCTTGCGCTTGCCAGGGAAGCGCTTATTCCACTGAGCCATCTCCCCGGCCCCTACTTTTATTTATTTATCTATCTATCTATTTATTTATTTATTTATTTTCAGAACCGGGGATTGAACTCAGGCCCTTGCGCTTACCAGGCAAACACTTATTCTACTGAGCTATCTCCCTGGCCCCACTTTGCTTCTTTAATATTTTTTATAACATTATTTCATCTTGTCCAGGCCCTCGCTGGTCTATTCCATTCCTGGGGAGACCACATATTCCTTTTATCTAGTCATGAAATCACACTGGCCACTCCCAGTATTTTCTAGTACACCCTTTTTTTTTTTTTTATCTGTAGATCAAGAATACTATTTCTTTTTGTTTGTGAATCATTAAAGAGCTAAGGTTCTTTTTTCCATATGTCCCAGATCTACCCATCAACATAGATTACAAGTGCTGTCTTCTAAATTGCCCAGATTCTGACTCAGTAGTGCTTCTTAGGCTTTGCTAATATGAATTCTCTGAACTTTTGCCTGATCTGTAGGCATAAAATATCCTGCTCTCCCATCTTATAAAGTGCTTTGGTCACCACTCGACCCCTCTTGAAGTTGCTATCCATGTAGCCTTAGAACTTAGATTATCCTTCTAAAATCCAAACTATCTCATAATTCTGTTCTTTGTTATCTGGTGTGACTAGTGACTAGTAGGCTTTATATATATATATATATGTATGTATGTATTCCCCTCCCCCCCCGGAACTGGGGATTGAACTCAGATCCTTGTGTTTGCCAGTTAAGCGCTTATCCTACTGAGCCATCTCCCCGGCCCCAGGCTTTAAATATTGATAGTTCCAGTTCTTGCTTTATTTCATATCTCTGACCTCTACAAACATCTCCAATTCTCTAAAAACACCTCTTACAAATCTCCAGTTCTGCAGCAATCCACTTGCCCTCTTCCTTTGCTTCTACTCTCGGGCTTATAGGAGTTGCTAGTGGAAAAGACCAATTTCTTTAATCATGAGCCATATTATAAATACGTCATACCAAATGTTTGCCCTTGGGTGCTGTGATGTTTAAACTTATCCACCACCCTGTCCATGATGCCTTTGTTGCCAAAAAAAAAAAAAAAAAGTTCTATTTTTTTACTTTTCCCCATAAAATAGGACTTGGAAATGAGTTTCTTAGTTGTCTCTCCTCTATCTTCAAACTTAGTTAAAGCTTTCCTTCTCTTCTTTCTGTAGTACCAGGGATTGAATCTTGGGGATTGCACAAGTTGGGTTAAGTGCTCTTGCACTCGCTATTGCCGCAGTCCTGAACTTTTGTCTTTCATCTCATCTATTTTCCTGGGCTCATTTATTTGCGTATCAGTTGCTAAATCTGTATTTCCAGCCCTGTGTATGAACTGGGTGCAGCTCCTGTTTAGTACTTTGAGTTGTCTGTAAGATGCTTTCTTAGATGCTCTACAGTCTTGTATCAGTCAAGGCAGCCTAGGCTGTGCTGGGGTAACAAGAAGAAACCAGCCTGTGGCTTACAGAGATTTATTTCTTGTTAACATTACACATTCCCTGTGGCTCCACCACAGCTGTGACCCTGTCCCTTTGGCACCTAGGCTAACAGGCACATCTGTCTGCAGCCTTGCTAGTTGTGGTGGTAAGGGCAAATACAGGTAAATGACAAACCATGTCCTAGCTCTTAAGCTTCTGCCCAGAAGAAACACATTTCAGGCCACATTCTGTCATCCAAGGCAAGTCACATGGCCGGCCACTCCTGAGTTAACTGGGTGGGGATGTGTGATCCTCCCCCAGGGAGTGGCACAGGAATATTTGGCACCAGTGATACAATCTACCACAGGCATTTCAAGCAGAACACGTCTAAACCTTCCACTTACTGTTTCATCCTCGTCCAAAATCTATTCCTCCCCAATTTTCCTTTTATTCTGTTACTTGGCATCATGGTGTATTAAATCAGCCAAGCTGGAAAATTCAGAGTTGTCTTTAAATTCTTCTCCTCCTCCCTGTTCCCCATATCCAGTTAGTCAGACAGTCCTCTTGTGTTCTGCTCTGAAATCTCTCTCATCTCGGTGTCTCCTCTTGTGTGTTCCTGCTGCCCAAGGCAGAACTCATCTGTATTGTAGGAGACTCTGAGCAGACTCCCTGTCTTCATCTCTCCTTCACCAGGAATGTGTTCTCCACCCTGCTGTCAGGGGCAGGATTTGGAACATAGATCTCGTCACATCACTCCAGAGCTCAGATCTTCAGGTATTCCTTATTGCTTTCGAAACATCTGCCTATCTTGTTTAGTTTTTTTTTTTTTTTTTTTTTTTTTTTTTCCCCCACAAGGGAGTCAAAACAACATTTTGTTCCTTCTTTCATAATGACCTCATACATTTCCCATATACCCTGTGGGTTTGTTGGTGATACTGTTTTATTTTATACTGAGAATTGAACCTTGGTTAAGCTACATCTCTAGCCCTTTTTATTTTTTATTTTTTGTGCGTATGGTCCTTGGGATTAAACCCAGAGACTTCACACTGAGCCATCTTCCTACATCCCTCTTTTTTGTTTTAATTTTTTATTTTGAGACAGGGTCTCACTAAGTTGTTACATTATGCAGGCTGGCCCTCAAACTTCCAGCCCCCCTGCCTCAGCCTCCCAGAATTCTAAGATTACAGTCATGTGCTACCATCATATGCTCTTTTATATCAGCCTTTCCCCCTCCCATTCATTCATGAATTCAGTCCTATGATTTCACCTTTCCTAGAATGTCATATAGTTAAAAACATGCAGCCTTTGAATCCGGCTTCTTTTATTAGTATATATATTTGAGATTCATCTAAATTATATATATCAATAATGTTTTATTTTTATTACTGAGTGGTATTTCATGACATGGGTAATTCATAGTTTGCCTACCTATCCCTGGGTTTAAAGATACTTGAAGTGTTCTTGGTCTTCATTCTGTTTCCCTGTTCAGTTCCTACTTAGCCCATAAGACATGGCTCCACGATTCCCTTCCTGTGCCTCATGTGTTGTCTGCAGGAAGTCAGGTTTATTAGTTCTTTTTGACTCTGGCTTTCACCCCCAGCATCTGCTGCACAGCCCAGTGCTTGAATGCTCAAGTAATAATTGTTGAATTGAACAGCTTTGAGTGTCTAGCCCCCAAGGCATCTTCTCTGTAGGCTTTCATCTGCAGAACCCAGAGGATTTTTTTTTTCTTTTTTGTACTAGAGATCCAGTACCTTTACACTAACCTGCACCCCCAGCCTTTTTTTATTTTTCATTTTAGGAGGCAGGGTCTCCCTAACTTCCCCAGGCTGAGTTCAAATTTGTGATCCTCCCACCTCAGCCTCCCAGAGTGTTGTTAGGATTATAGGGGTGTGCCATCATGCTCAGCTTCAAAAGTTTTGTTTTTTTTTTTAATCCTTCATTGGGGGGCCTGCCCCTTAGCTCAGTTATTTAAGTGGCTGCTTCAACAAAGCAGTCAGGCTCAGGTTGCTGTGGTTCAATCCCCACAACTCAAGCCAGCCCAACCTGCCCTGAAGGCATTCGGAGAAAAAAAAAAATCCTTAAATACTTCATTGTATTTTATGTCTTCATGACACTGGAGATTGAACCCAGGGTCTTGCACATGCCAGATAAACACGCTACCACTGAACTACACCCTTAATGCCTTTAACTTTGATTTAACCTATTGTTTCTCAAATTTGACTATAAAGCACTCACATTCTGTGAAACTAATCTTCCTAAAAAAACACCCTTGGGGCAGAAATGCTAGGATCATTGTTATAGTAGTCCCTCACCCACAGTGAGTGTGTTCCAAGGCTCCCAGTGGTTGTCTGAAAACTTGCATACTACCATACCCTGTGTATAGTATGCTTTTTCCTATATGTACGAATCAGTGATAAAGTTTAATTCATATGGCTAGGGATATAGCTCAGTGGCACAGAGTCTACCTGTATGTATCTGTGTTGAAGTTTACTTTGTATGGCCAGGAATATAGCTTAGTGGCACAGTGCCTGCTTGGCAAGTGTGAGGTCCTGAGTTTGAGTCCCAGTACCAAGGAAAAAAGTTTAATCGTAAATTAGGCACAGAAAAGAACAGCAATAACAATAAAACAAATACATGTATGTGAATATGGAATATGAATGTGGGGCTGGCCAAATAACTCAGCAGATTAAAGCGCCTGCAAGCAGGTGCAGGGGCCAGGGATTCGATCCGCAGGCCTGCCGTGCCGACCCCGCCCCCAGGGCTCACTGAGACAGCCATCGAGACTGGGCATGGTGGCACATGCCTGTAATCCTAGCACTTGGGAGGCTGTAAACAGGAGAATCACTATGAGTCTGATCTAGTAGTGAGACCCTGAACACCCTGTAGACCCTTCCCTAAAATACAGAAAATAAATATGGATGTGGTCAGTCTCACTGTCCTGGCAAATATTTTAATTCTTCATTGCATTATTGTAGTATTGTTCTACCTTAGTTGATCCCAGTAACTGAAACTATGGAAAGCAAAACCTAGGATAAGGGGGAACTGCTATAATGCTGTGCTTCCTCTAGTTCAATTAAGTATCCAAATTGGCACATGAATGTGATGGAACTACCTTCAAAGTTTTGGTATGCATTATTTTATGATCTTTAGCCAAAGGTAGCAGTAGTTTCCCTGGCAAGCACAAGGGCCTGAGTTCAATCCCTGGTTCCACCAAAAAAAAAAAAAAAAAAAGCAGTAGTTAGAACGGAACCAAATAAACTCTTGTCAGATTTATTCTTCTGTGCAGAATAAACTTCCTTGTATTGAACTCAGCTGTACAGCAAAACAGAGTGCTCAAATAGCAAGATTTAACTCCATTCCTTGTAAATGATTTTTCTGAAATTTTCCTTCTCTGTCTCTGTGTTTTGACCACCAAAGAACCGTAGAATCTTTTTTTTTTTTTTTTTTGGAGGAACCCAGGATTGAACTCAGGCCCTTGCGCTTGCCAGGCAAGTGCTTATTCTACAGAGCCATCTCCCAGCCCCCAAACCATAGAATCTTGGTCTAAGAGATCATCACCTAATACCATAGATGATTAGCTGAGATACAATGATACTATACTTTGCTTAAGGTATATAGCTGGGAGCTAGGTCTAGATCTGGCACTTGTTTCTTAATCTCATTTCCATGATTGCTACCTGATAATCCTTTGCTAGCAACTTTTTTTTCCCTCTTTTTAAGACACAGTCTCACCAAGTAGCTCAGACTGGCCTTGAATTCACCATGTAGCCCAGGCTAGCCTCAAACTCATGCAGTCCCCCGTATCAGCCTCCCATTGCAAGGATTACAGCCATGCACCACCACACCCAGCTTGCAGCTGCTTTATTGATCCCATAAAAACATTAGTTTTTAGATCAAAGATTTCTTTGCCTTCATTTTTACAAAAATATCAAGGTCTGGTGTCACACATCTGTAATAGCCCTCTGGGAGGCTGAGGTAGGAGAGCAATTCTGGTCTAAACTGAACAACTTACTGAGCTACAAGATGCTGCCTCAGAATAAAAAAGGGCTGGGGTGCAACTTATTGCAAAGAATCTGGGTTTAATTCTTTCATTGAAAGTTGTGGATTTTGTTTTTCTCCTAAGGGATAAAACTATACTCTCGTTTCTCTTCAGATTGTATAAATCTTTCGCCTTTTACTAAGGGATAAAACTCTGCCCCCCTCCCGTGTGTGTGTGTGTGTGTGTGTGTGTGTGTGTGTGTGTCTGCCTGCCTGCCTGCCTGCCTGCCTGTCTATCTGTGTGTGTGCATGCTAGGTAAGGGCTCTAACAAACTGAGGCCCTAGTACTTAAATGTTATTTCTACCCTTTTGTGAACATATGAATGTCTCATCAATAAATAGATGTCAGGGGCTGGGGAGATGGCTCAGTGGAATAAGCGTTTCCCTGGCAAGCGCAAGGGCCTGAGTTCCATCCCCGGTTCCGCCAAAAAAAAAAAAAAAAAAGAAAATAGATGTCAGCAGTGTATCTGGCAGAGCCACAGGTAAAATCATTTTTGTTTTGATCCCCCAAAAAAGACTATTGAGAAAATACTTTAGGTTGAAATGTTCTGGCTAAGGGCCAACCAAATAGCTCATCAGATTAAAGTGCTGGGGGGTTTGATCCCCAGGCCTGCTGTGCCGGCTCTGCCCCCGGTGCACGCTGAGATGGCAACTGAGACTGGGCATGGTGGCATGTGCCTATAATCTCAGCTCTTGGGAGGTAGTAAACGGGCGGATCACTAGGAGTCCAGTCTAGTAGTGAGACCCTGAATAACACCCTGTTGACCCTTCCCTAAAATACAGAAAACAAATAAATAAATAAATATGAAATGTTCTGATTAAAGGAGAGCTGCATGGGATTCAACATCTTGAATTAAACCGGTCTTTAGGATTTAAAAGCAATTTATTTTGGGGCTGGGAGATGGCTCAGTGGAATAAGCGCTTCCCCGGCAAGCGCAAGGGCCTGAGTTCAATCCCTGGTTCCACCAAAAAAATAAAAAAAAAGCAATTTATCAACTTGCTACCAATTAACATATCAAAGAAAAATATGGCTTGTATTCAGCTTGACACTTTGATGATTAATTCCTTTTTTTTTTTTTTTTTTTGATAGGTGGGGAAAAGTGGTAATGTACCAGCAGGAACTACAGTGGATAGCACCATCACACATCCATCAGAGTTTGACTTTTACCTCTGTAGTCATGCAGGAATTCAGGTAATCTGGGAGCTGGTCCAGATCTTTGACTTGATAAGATGTGTGCCCATTGAGCAACTAGCTTGAGAAGACTTGTTATTAAAGACTGTACTTAATTTTTTTAATACTTATATGCTAGAACTGTTACCGTTTGGTCTAGGGATCTGTTTGTCAGTGTGACAGAATCATTTCTGAGTTTAAGGATTAGGTTTCAGTTCCTCTCCTCTCAGATAGTCAACCCAAGTTAGAAATCTTTTAATCCTAAAACACTCTCTCCAGGGAACCAGCCGTCCTTCACATTACCAAGTCTTATGGGATGACAACTGCTTCACTGCCGATGAGCTCCAGCTACTGACTTACCAGCTGTGCCACACCTACGTGAGATGCACACGCTCCGTCTCTATTCCAGCCCCTGCATATTATGCCCGGCTTGTGGCATTCAGGGCAAGGTATCATCTGGTGGATAAAGATCATGACAGGCAAGTTTCTTAGGCACAGTAAATCCCCTTTCTATTTTACCAGCATGTTTTTTAAAAAATGTTTTTACAAAACACTCTTTTAAAGATAGAAACTTTCTTTTAGGATTTAAATTGCAAGGAGCAAATAAAATTGCATGAATCTTTGGGCGTTTATAATGTGACTTTTGTCCAAGAAGTGCTTGGGCTTGTTTATACTTGTATTGTGTCTCAAAAGGAATCTAATTTGGAGCTTTTGTGGTTTTCCCATAGAGCCAAATGCATTTCAGTTCTTTTCAGGTCCTGAGTAGTCTCAAAAGGTGGCCAGCACAGTCAGAGCAGTCACAGGCCTGTGGATTCCAGTTTATGCAAGGGAGGGTCCTGACAGCTTCCCTTGGCTTTTAGTCCAGTCAGGAAGAGTTCACCAGAGTGAACCTGGGAATGCATGTGGGAGGAGCAGCAGGCCCTTCTCACCCAAAAATAGGGATTGCAAGAGAATCAGACATTTTGAACTATTACTGAGCTACTATTAGGTAGCTAAACAAGCTCTTTGCATTAAATTTCTTTTCCAAATGGCCATCTGTGAAGTACAGCCATTTCTGGGCTCTTCCCCAAGTCTGAATTCAATAGCTACATAATAGACATTCCACTGCAAGTCTATTTCTGTAAGAGTTGAAAATATACCATTATAAAAAATGCCCAGCTGTGGCTTTGTAGCCTCCATTCTGTAATGTGCATTCATTTAGCACATTTATTATGTATTGACTGTGTGCCCAGCAGTGTGCTGTGTGCTAAAAAAACCAGGATGAGAAAGACATGTTTTCAGCTGATGAGGATTTTTATGTTCCAGGAGAGAAGACAAAAAAATAATAGAACTAGCAAGAGCTCAAAATCAGTATAGAGGGTGGGCCTGCCCTTCACTTAGTTGTTTAAGCGCCTGCTCATGCAAAGGCAGTCAGGAGCAGGATGCTGCCGTTTGATCCCCAGCTCTACCTGCCTTATCAGACAGCCTGAGCCACCAAAGAAAAAAAAAATCTGTATAGATTAAAAATACAATGAGAGGGGCTGGTGAGATGGCTCAGTGGTCTAAAGCACCTATTTGGAACAGGCTTGGCAAAGCACAGGGACCGTGGTTCAATCCCCCAGCACCACATGCCAGCCCGCCCCGCCCCCTGGTGGGCTGAGCTGGCCACACACACACACGCACACACACACACACAAATAAATAAAATTAAAAAAAAAATACAATGAGAAATTTTATAGCTGGGTGGGTAGGATTGGGCTCTACAAAGAAAAGGATTTTTTCCAAACAGAAAGAACAGTGGACAAAAAGAAGAGAAAGCAAGTGACATGTTTGGACAATAGCAAGTTTTCTTTGGCTGGAGCATATTAAAAGCGACAGCAGGCATGAGGCTAGAAAGTATCTTAGAGCAAGACCGTCTTTGTTAAATGTAAACACTTATGGCACACACTGGTAGTCCCATCACTTGGCCTGAAGTGGGTAGATCACAAGTGTGAGTCCACCTTGGATGGCAGTGACTTAGCCAGTTCTTATCTCTGGGGCTGTAGCTTAGTGTCAAGTATTATGAAAAGCAAAACAAAACACCTTATTTCTGGGATAGAAGAAGCAGGACTTAACAGTTAAGTGAGTATTGGTTGGCAAAGGGAAGGATAAGCTAAAAGATGACTAAGGTTTCCACAACTAGATAATACAGATAGCAATAATCATTGAAGGAAAGATGAGCCTTTTGCCTGTTAACAGCCCCAAGCTATGGCCAGAACAAGCACCTTACAAAAGTCAGCAGAAAGACTGACTTAGGGCTTAGGAAGGAGAATTATAAGTTTGAACCCAATTGCACAATTTAGTGACTTAGATGAAGTCTCTTTTTATCTCAAAAGATAAAAAAGAGGGTGGACTAAGCGTGTATCTCAGTGTGAAAGACTTGTGTTTAATCCCAAGTGTTGAGAAAGAAAGAAAAAATGAAAGAGACAGAGAGGAAGGAAGGAAGACATGAGCATACAGGCCAGGAAGAAAGTGGCTGGTCCATTTTCTAAGGAACACTGATAAGATGTTGTCTTAGTTACTTTTTACTCGTTACTGGGACAAACACCAGACACTGAAAATGAAGGAAGAGAAGGTTTATTTAGCTCACAGTTACTGGAGGGTTCAGTCCATACTCCGCTGGCTCCAAGGCAAAGGACAGCAGTTCATGTGGCAGAAAATAATGAAGAGCGGGGAGGAGCAGCAGCTGCGGCGTCCATCAAGCCTCTCTCTTCCTTCTGCGCTGACTGCCAAGACCGGAGATTGTAGCTCCTCCACAGTGGCCCTCAGCTGCGAAGCTCAAGCTCCTCCGAAGACTGAGACTTCCCCACAGAAGCGGGGCAGGGCGGCAGGAAGTCAGGCAGGGAGGCAGGAAGCCTTTCTCAATTCCTGGGCCCTGCCCACCTGCAGCACTAGGCCCCCACGCTGAGAACTGCTGAAGCCGATTCAGCCAAGTTGACACAATGTATCAACTAACACATGTAAAATCACCACTACTTTCAGCCTAAGAACTATTGGAACGACACTAGTTAGTTGCAAGACTCAAGGAACCCAAATTACATCTGGTTGCCTCAGGAGTTGTGTGTTTGAAGTGAGCTTTGCTGTTCTTCAGAAAGATGAAGTTGCATTTAGAAAATTTAAAGTAATTATTGAGGATATTCTGAGTAAAACTGCCTAACTAGCTTCCATGGTGTGGATCTTACCCATGACAAAATATGTTTAATGGGTTAAAAAACACAACAAAATGGCAGATTGTGATTGAAGTTTATGTTGCTATCAAGACTACTGGTGGTTATTTATTCTGTGAACTGATGCTCATGTGTTCTGTGTTGGTTTTACTAAGTATAGCAGTCAGACTTGGAAAAACCTCTGATCCCCAGCACCAACTGGTCCACCAAGTCAAGAAGATGACAGTGGAAATCATAGCCTGAGAAACAGACTCATGGCTTGAGAGAAAGTCAATAGATCAGTTTCAGACAGCATTGGAAAAGACATATAAAAAGCTTTCCAGTCTGTTTTCTTTGTGATATCTTGGTTAGAAAAATAAAAATACTGAGGAAACCCAGTATTTGAATTAGGAAAACTTTATAGAGCTTTGTGGAAAAGCTACTGGGGAATAAGACAAAGTACTAAAGTTAAGTGAGCTGATAGATGTGAACCACCAGCCCAAGAACCTGTTTAAAATTCAGATTTTTAAATAATGACAAGTGAAAACTCATATTTGTGTGGGAGAGTGATGTTTGCCAAGCTATCTATGTCCTGTGTGCTCTTCAGAGGTATGCTTAGAAATTGTTCAAGCAGAGGATCATTGTTCAGAGTAGCTAATTGTCCAGGGTTACATAGCTAGTGAGCAGAAAGCGAGAAGAGGCTGGTGGCACAGTAATTTTTACAGAGTACTGGGTTCCAGTACTGTGCTAGGCACATAAGTTCATTCATTCAATAAATGGTTATTAGCCAGGTGTGGTAGTGCACACCTGTAATTCCAGCACTCAGGAGGCTGAGACAGGAAGATCACTGAGTTTAACACCAGCCTGGGCTATATAGTGAGTTCAAGGCCAGTCTCAACTACATAGGGAGACACTGTCTCAAACAAAAATGATTATTGAAACTATATTGTAGGGGGCCAGTGAGATAGCTCAGCAGACTAAAGTGCTTGCTTAGTAAGCTTAAGCAAGCACAGGGAGCAGGGACTATGGTTCAGTCCCTGGCACCACATGTCACGCCAGCCCTGCCCCCAGGGCAGGCTGAGCCAGCCAGTCTGGCACATAGTGGTGCAAGCCTGTAATTCTAGCACTGGGGAAGCTGAAAGCAGAAGGATCACTATGAGTCCAAGCTTCATAGTGAGACCCTGCAACAACCAAATACATTAAAAAAAATTTTTTTAAGCTATATTATATATTTAGCTCTAGGGATACAATGGTTAGATGGATACATTTGCTGGTTTCTTGGGGTTTAATTTATTTCAATAGATAAAGAAATAGTTACCCAATTAATAATTTCATTTCAAGGGTTGGGGGATGGGGGATAGTTCAGCAGTTTAGCACCTGCCTGGCAAGTGCAAGGGCCTGGGTTTGACTGCTGGTACCACATGCTGTGCTGGCCCCAGAACGCTAGGCAGGCCATAGTGAGACCCTGTACCAAACAAATAAGATTTAAAAAGTAATAATTTTGGGC